AAAAGAAAATTGAGTTTCAGAGAGTTAAAATAATTTTGTGGATGGTTCACACCCAGTTATGTCAACGATTAAAGAATGTGCTTATTGATCAGTTCTTTTGCTAAACGCAGCCAATGAGTGCAGCTATTTTATTACCGCAAATATTCAAAATGAATAATACAAAAATAGAGTTATAAAACAATTGTACATCGTACAATTAGCTATCTCTTGTATTTTATATTGATCATTTGATAAACATAATCGATAAGACGCGATGGTGTGTATGTTTCCATGTCTTTTTCTCTTTTTCTTTCGTTCTTTGAGAAAAGAAAATTCGACGATTTCTCATGCACATTTATCATTTTCTTCTTTTATGGAAAGGAAAAAACGCAAGTTAAAGTATGAGGGGTGACTGAGAGAGAAACGCGACAGGATCATTGAATCACTTTATTGTCACACGCCATCTCTGGCATCGGGGGTATCTTTTATCAGATATAAGATATTGGATACAGTCACTAACGCTTTATACTTAATCGTCTCGTGATCTCCTGCCGTGAACTCCGTGAGTGAAATGATTAGCTCTTTACAACACGTCCCCGGGAGGGAGATACACTATTAATTTAAAGAAACGAAAATGAAATGTTCGCATTGTACGACGTACAATATTATTTCGTATTTCTGACTTTCGCGCGACGCTTTTTTGAAAACAAGGAAGGAGAAGAACAAAGTTCGGAGTTCACGGAGTTCTCAGCTGAGGTTCCGCGAAACGTCGTCTAAACGTACTGCTTAAATTCTTTCGTTCTTTCGTAATTTACGTGTTTTCATTTCTGTTTTTGTTTAACGAAAAATTATACGCTTTCTCATAACGCCCGCTCTCTTCCGCTCCCTTGTACACCTTATACATTTTCTTCCCTCCCTCTTTCTCTCTCTCTCTCTCTCTCTCTCTCTTTTTCTCTCTCCCTCTCCCTCTCTTACACACACACACACACACACACACCCCCCCTCTCTCTCTCTCTCTCTCTCTCTCTCTCTCATTTACTCACACGCGTTCTCTTCTTTTCTTTCTCATTTTCATTCTCGCTTACTTTCTTCCTTTTGTTCTAAGTTTTGTCTTTCGCCCGCTCTCTTATTCTTTATAGATATAGAAATAAATTCGGACGTGTTCATTATCAATAAATTAGAAATGTATGAGTCTCACTCGTCGTGGATCAGTCTCGAGCGACGAGCATGACTTCGGATAATAATATTTCCCTTCGCTTTCATTTTTCGTTTAATATTAAAATCGTAAAACTGCTCGCGTTCTTACGACCGACTCGTAATTCGCTTTAGAAAATATCGGATAAGATGCTCGAAAAATTTTTACTACTTTGAAAGTCGTGCGTTTGGAAAAGAAAAAAGCACAGAAAAATCTAATTAGAACATTCAACATTTAACATGCTATTCGTAATATTCGTCGAAATCGATTGTGAAAATAATCGATTGACGGTGATATGCGTATCTAATCACTTCTGATTCTCGGTGCATTCAGATATATACGAGTCGTTCGTGAGCTTACGATACAAGATTACAAGATCGCCTGTAAGCTACGCTGGACTTCTTCCTATGAGAATAATGATTAATTCACTTTATACAGCTCGTTATACATATCTTGATCTCCCTTCTTCTTCTTCATCTCTCTCTCTCTCTCTCTCTCTCTCTCTCTCTCTCTCTCTCTCTCTCTCATTTTATTTTCCTCGTTTTATACATTTGATACACTTATACACGCAAAAACACACACACACACAACACACACACACAGAGAAAACATACATGCGCACGCACACTCTATTATAGTTGTAAATCTAAATTGGCTCTCTAAATTTGACAAAAGTGGTACCCCTTGGTTCTTAGCATTTTCATCCGCTTAATGTTCCTTCTTTGTTACCTTTTATTATATCTTTTTTTTTCTCGATTATTCGCCCCCTTTTTCGCATTAGCTTTCACTATTCGAATCAATAATAGTTTTCGGGGTTTTACCTCGATCTCTTTCATTGAGTTAATTAATAATATATAGGTACAAAGTCGGATAATAATTTATATTCCGTATATATATATGTGTGTGTGTGTGATTTATGTGATGCGCGTGTCCGATCCTAGAATTGAGCATGCCTATATACAAATGGGCATGGCAAGAATAGAAATCGACGTGTGCACTCTTCGCGCTGTTTCTCATGACAGATCGACGATTCTAATCGATGCCATACGAATTGTATTAGCATTATTACTGTAAATCATTATTCGCGTGATGAGCGAATTTACGTTACTTTCGTTACTCTCGTAAATTTTACGACGCGCAATTCTTTTCGACACGGAGAATGATTTTATTTGCCATTTTATCTACTATTCTATTATTCGCAGTGCGCGTAGTCATGTAACAATTGTGATTTTCTCAATTTTCCGAATCGCTCGATTATTTACACGAGCGCAGTCTTAGTAAGTTTTCGTGATATACAAATTCTACGATTTCTCTCAACTCTAAGTAATAACTTAAACGAATTTGTGTCGATCGTTTTACTTGTCGAAAACGCAAGAAACAGCTCACGAAGAGACGAGTGTCGAATCAATTTCGCGAAGAATCTTATACAACCGTCTGTAAACGACGCGTTACAAACAGAAGAGTTTTTATCTAGTAGTCTTGTATATTTTATTAATTAACTATTACAGAATTATGCTTGTATATATGTCGTCCCACGATCTTAATAAGTTCGTGCACTTGCAAAATATGTACTTAGAAATCAGCTTACAGTAATATCTTTTTTTTCACAGTACTTTACATATACATATCTTTGTCTTTGGATAGAACTCTACTTTTCTGTCTTTATTTTCTCACGAGTAAAAAAGCTTCTTTCTTTTTGCTGTACGTCTCTAATATAAGCATATTATAGATATGATAAGATACCACCCTTTTATACAATTCCACCATTCCCTAAAGCTCGATCGGTCCCCCGATTACGAGAAAGTTACGTTACCTAGGATTTATCGTGAACAATCGGATTATCGGTGACATCTACATAGTTCATCTGTAAATTAACGGTATTTGTTATTTCGTTTGTCAAATTCTAAGTTAAGTCTTACGTCATAACTCACTTAACGACGGACTGTATGTATTTCGATGACATTTCGATATAATCTCAGCACGCGTATCATACTCCGCGCTAGCATTATCTCGATCTTACCTTAAAGATCGCGTTGCGATAGAAATTGCGTAGAAATATTGATATAACGGAGAGCAGAAACACGAGTGCGAGATGTGTGAGACAATCGTTTCAAATTGCAAAGCAAAATATTATACTTGGTCAATCATAGTAAGAATTTGTGATAAAAGAGCATCGACATTAATGTCGCTGGATGTTAGTCTTTAGTGATACAAGAAATGTGACGCGAATTATAGAAATTTTTCTACATTCAAACCTATATCTCTAGCGAATTTTTATAGTAAATCGTAGATTTACAAAAATATACGTAATAGCCATATACATTGAAGCTTGCATTCCATTTGTCAATTTTATCGATAATATCCAAGGAGTACCTTTCAACTATACAATGATTTGTAATTTAAGGTATGTCACATAAAAAGCTTACTTCATGAGATTATTAACAAGACTTACAAAGAAACTTTGCTCAGTGATTTTTCTAATTTTCGTATTCGTGTCAACTCGCAAAAGTGTAACTCTCAATAATACCTGAAAAATATTGAAAACTTGCTCCTTTTCAGACTTACCCTCGTTTTCCAAATCTCATGCACTATAATTAAATTGAAATGTTATTTTTTACACGAAGTTTTCATGCTAAATCTTAAAAACTTCACAAAAGGTAATGCTCTTTCACTCTCTCTCTCTCTCTCTCTCTCTCTCTCTCTCTCTCTCTCTCTCTCTCTCTCTCTCTCTCTCTTCCTCCCCTCCCTCTCTCTCAGAGAGCACAAATGTAATTATTTACTAATTCACAGCAGACGTGCATGTGCATGCTCGCTGAATATATCTTCGCGAGTATTCAAGATACGCACGAAGAAAGATCGAACACATAGCACGATAATTAAGATATAAAATTAATGGCAAGCATTTCTTTTACGCGCTTCTTACAGAGATTTACAAAGCCTCTTAAATATTTAGTGGCATTTCACTGTTTTTGTACAAAATCAGTACGAAAGAGAATTTTTGCCGCGACGCGTCCCGTTTACGCGAGTTATATGGGCGGTTTTATTTTTTTCAATTTGTTTCGAAAACTGGTTCTTATACGCGAATAAAATCTTCCAAACAAAGCTTTCAAACAAAGCTGATTCGTAATCGTTCGGGTATATTTCATTCTGGCTTTGAGACTGCTAATTCAACAAAAAGATCCAAACTAGATGTATAGGAATCGATTTATCAGTCTGCTTCGTACTTGAGAAATATAGTACATATTCCTGTTCCATATTTTCTACATCATAATAATTATCTCTTTTCTTTTTGAACACATTACTAAACGATATTTAAAAAGCCAAGTAATACGTGCTAATACGATACCAATAAATATCAGTATTCAAGGAACAAATTGTGTAATTAATTATATCATCGTACATTCTAATGATTCCGATACTAACTTAGAAAATGTTAAATTAGATCGAGTTTGTGTAATTAAGAAAAAAACTATAGCGACAATCATCATAGAAAGTCAACGAGAATATAAAGTAAATCATTACCCATTCAAACTTGCGCGCACATATCGCAAATTCTCATATCAGTGTTATAGTATAATATTTACATTAAATAATATATGCTCTGACGGTGACATTTTTGACTAAAAATTTGACAACGATAAATGTCTTTTAGCCGATCGTTTCGGAGATCGACATACTTGAACTGTCCTAAATTATATACAAAGTTTGGAAATGTCTTCTCATTTGGAATGTTTCAATACTTTAAATCTCTCTCACATGCTGTTTAAATGAAGTCCGTGATTTATCCATTTATCGCATATTTCTCACTGTATTCATGAATTTCATTATTCACTTAACCACATTTAGATTCACTGAAAACGAGTGTCATTGACCGTTTCACATCTTATTTATCTAGTACACCACATTTGAGTTCACATCTATCCTGAACTTACTGGATTTAATTTGTTTTCACTGAAAAATAAACAAACGTATTATTAATTACAAATATATAACATTTACTTTTCATGAAATATTGAATGATAAAAATTCTCAATGCACATGCATATGAGATTCACGCATCATACACTGTCATCATATATATAAATTCACGATTCTTCTATCATGAGATTTCTTCGACATTCAATATCTCAAATTAGTTATATCTTGAAAACATTTTGAGAAAATATACAAGAGGATACATAGGACTCCGAATACGGCACAAACTTACCTTTATTTACTTTTCATATAATTTTTATATTGTTAAAAATTCAAGCATATTAAAAACTGTCACGATTTACCATGTATTTACAAGGAAGTTCAAACGAGTCATGAAAAAGAGAATGAATATTGTGCAAAGGTCGAAATTAATAATGTGACGTATATATGAAGCAATACCAGGAAATCTATAAAAATCTATAAAAATCGTTCTTAAATGGATGAGGATAAATATTAAATTTACAATGTGCAAATAGTAAATTCAAGGATTAATGGAAATCGAACTTTTTTCATGTCGAACCAAATTTCGTAGACAAAGGCATATTCTTTCTACAAATTCAGAAAGGTAAAATCGATGCATACAGCACGTGGCAACGAAGTTTCGACCGCATATGTGATAACATAATCTCCTTTCTGTTATCGACTCTATGGCCGGTATTCAGTCGTTTATACTGAAAACCTTAACTTACAAACTTAAAATGTCATAAACCAATCAAAGAATCGTATTAGCATCTTAAGATGTCTTGAAATAAGAACGGACTATGAATACCGACCTATGTCGCTACTTCGAAGCCGAAATGGAAGTATTTTTATAGGGCAAGCATTTTCAAAGAATAATAAGAGGAGATTTCTATACAGAAACGGTGGAAATGAAAAGAAGATATTGGCAACAACAAATGTGTATCAAGATTTCACATGGGTACTTGAGAAAATCGATCGAAAGGTTAATATCCTGAAAATACGAACGATATTGCTATACTTGATCGTCAAGGTATTACGAATAGACATTGCAATCATCTCGCGAACGATTGCAATCGTATCGGCGCTTTTTTATTATATCGCCTTTTATGTACCCACGTTAAATCGTTGTCCAACTATCTACGAACGATGCCTTCATCTCAGTGCGTACCTAAAACTATCTGGCGCTCCGGGAACATGGCTGCTACGTCTACATCTAGTCTACATACAGACTAGTGGCTCGTCTGATATGCCGTACATTATATGTACTAGTGGTGTTTCTAGAAAGACATCCTTTCGTACGTTTTTTCACTCTTTTCACATTCTCGCATCGCCTTTGCATTGCTTATATCTCTCGTTTTCATTCCGATTTCGCAGAATTTTTTATTATCCGTATACAATCGCACTTTTCATACTGTATATTCCTCGTTATATATTGTTCGTTAAACTGACTTTACCGTATTCAGAGCCGAACGTCACTCGTTAAATAGCTTTAGGCTTCGACATTAATAGCCTACGGGGAATACGCGTGTAGGATGTATAAGATTCTTTTCAATTCTGTCAACCATAGTGAAGAATATGTAATATTACAACACGGTAGAGAATTACTTAAACACTTCTTTCAATTTTTTATTACGATGGACGTAGTAATCCAAACTCTCTATCTCCTAATATATTTATTTAATACTACATTTAATATCATCAAGCAATGATTTTATACGTGTTACTTAAGTTGTTAAAGACATTTATAATACTAAACGTTTATAATAATTTCCATACATGTTCTATTATTTAATCAATTAAAATAAATGTAATACTATCTTGTACATCGAGACTCGTGCATTTCAGTATTCTGTTAATGATAAAAGCGACTGGGTGCATCGCGATAGGAGCTCGATAGGACTCAATTGTGTCTGCGCTACTTTGTCTACTGCAAGAAACTTAAAGATCTCTTCAGTAAATATGTATAAAAGGAATATTTCGGTACGTTCTTCGGGCAGTCATTCTTTTAGATTTTAAAAGAATCGAGAGACGTAACCGAAGATCGACGGGACAAAGCAAGAGATGAAGCTCCACTGACCAGGGCTTGGGTGTCAAACAGCTTGTACCATCCGATCACCATCTGATTGAGGTCCAGCTCATCCAGTATGATCTGTGCAATACCCATGAACACTTTTTTTCCCTCTATCCGACCGTAGTCTCCCCATACTGTCACCTGAAACAGTATACAATAATGCGCATAAAATAGTAATTGAATTAAAAAAAGGAAATTAGAAGAATAGCCAACGACGTACCTGTAATATACAACCTCGGCAGTTTTCTTTGAAAGCCAATAATTGCGAACCATAGAATGGATCCAACGTTTTTCTAGCCGTCGTGGTTTTCGCTTTCTCTATACATCTTTTACCGTTCACCAGATACAACTTTACGTAAGAAGCTGGAATAAGAGAGTCGAAAAACTAAGCACATCCGTATCACTTCGGCAATCGTGAAACTTATCAAAGTTTGACTAACCTGGTATTACTTTACTGCCTTGTTTCGCTTTGAGTTCTTTGGCACGTATGACCTCTACTTCAAGGTAACCCTTCGTATGGCTCAATGATAGTTGAATCTCGCCGAGGCAATGGGTAGCGAGTGCTTGTCTTCCGACCACTTGGCCTGGTCCGAGATCTTCAATGAAATTTCTCAACTGCCCATCGCCTGCCATTCGCAGGCTGGGAGACCAACTGCAGTTTTCAAAATTATTTATTTAGTAAAGAAACGCAACTTATTCTGGATACTAAAAAAAATATAAAGAATGATTTAAAAAAACCGCTTGGAGAAATAAGACTTCAGATGAAGAAGAGTGATAATTTAACTGATAGTGTTTACCGTGCGACCAATGAAAAATGGGAATTTTTATAAGTTTTCCCTTTTCCGTTTTCTTGCTCGCACACTAAACTTATACAAGATGTATATGTACAATGATCTTGACTGTTCTAAATGTACGATAACCCACAGTAGAAAAAATAAAGCGCGAAAACTGCAAGCCGAAAATTATAGTATTCGAAGGAACTCTCTGATGCAATGAAGAAAATGCGAAGGAGAAAAATCATAAACGAAAGTAATATTTCCGCAGGAGCGAGGGACAATTCTCGCAAGCCTTCGACGAAAGTTGTAAAAGATAGAGAACACACCTCATTCAGTTTGAGATAAGAAGAACTCACGCTGAAAGTGTAGTGTCAGTGTAGAGTGAGTAAATATAATATTATACACATGGAAAAAAGAGATTATGTAAATAAGTTTAAAAACATATCAGATTGCTAACGCATGCATTTTAATCTAAATGCGCAAAAAAAGAGATTTTGGATAATTATTATAAATAACAGTAATCAGTCCATTTCAATATATACAAACGAAGAAAAAAATGCAAAGAGTATGTAAATGCAATAATTAATTTAAATGATACAATATAAAAATTATGTTTACAATTTCTATCTTGTATCTTTTTTTGATTATCGATAATTTTAACATACGACTGAGTACTGTTTCTTCGCTTACATTTATCTACTTAACATGCTTTATTAAAATCTTAAAAAAAATTAATTAAAATAATTTGTATTAATATACACTTACTTGTCGTTACGCCATTGGGAAGATTCACGTTACTAAAGATAAGCGGATCTTTTTAAAAACAGTTTTGCTATAAATGTGGATATCCACATCGAGTGTGCATACAGCCATTCAAAATTATTGTTAATCTAATAACTAATCATAGAAATTAGCTTTCGTAATATCTTATGAAATAAATGTACATCCCTTTTGTGGAGTAATTATATCTAGTAGCATTATCATTATCCGTTTAAGATATACAATAATTTTAATATTATCATACCACCAATAAGTGCGACAGTATATATTTGAGTGTCGGGTAAAGTCATACGAATAGAAGTTCATACATCCGATTGCACCCAATCATTTTCTCTGTAGTTTCGACCATATTACTGCTGCCAAAGAGTAAAATAATTTATTAGCAAAATTATTATTCGTAAACATTTTATGCCAAACCGACAAAGCGTTTGCTTACATCCTGTAAGTCACGCAGGCACGCATACCCACGTTTAGTTTATTTTTAATTTCTTACTGTTACACCTCGAACTGGCAGGTACTTTAAAAGATACACACGCTGTACAATACCTATTCTACGATATATCAAACACATTTTATGGAAATGATAAGAAATCCATAAGACAGAAGGGATTACTTTACAAGAAACGTCGATATATCAATAAATATCATAGTCGAGTATATAAAAGACAATGGATCGTACAGAAGTAGGTGGAAACCATTGGAAAGACGTGAGGTCCTGCGAAGACATTCTTAGGTGACATTCGACATATTCACAGGGCTTTTCTTACCATGTAGGTAGAAAATATGTAACTCCGCGACAATGAGATATCACATTGACATAGATACAAAAGTGCGTGTGTGTATGTGTATATATGTATGTGTGTGTGTACATTATATATGTGCAACGGTGCTCCGAGGTAATGCAGTACAACCATTTGCCACAATCAAGCAATTAAGCCAAGACGACAACAACACCGATAATGAACAACAATAATTTTGTGGACGCTTTCGTAAAAAGGAGACAGAAAAAAACAGTAGAATATAAATCCCACAGCTAATTCGTCGAAGACTATACCTTATAATACATATTTTTTCCTCGCATTATAATATTGACATACAATACAAGTATTCTACTGATACAAAAAAATATTACATTTCCCAAAATTTTTAATCCTGATTATATAAATTATTATTCAATTATTATATATAATGAAATAAAAAAAAGGGGAGAATAAACAGATGTAAAATCAAGTTACTCATCTTGCAATAAAACATGATATACAAACATTAAATTTCTGATTTTCATTTATGGATTTTGTAAACAGCGCTTCGTTTATGGATAATATAATGAATAATATAAATCGAGAAAGGGACTGTGAGAAAAATCAGATGAATAATCTAAATTGCAAATTGACAAAAATCGAAGAGATATGAAAAAAAGCGCGTGGTCACAATCATGTAATTGCACAGTTCGAATTATGGACGTATTACTGACATATTTTCAATCATACGTCTAAAAATTTAATAATCGATGTGGAGCGTTTATGATTTAGGTGTAGATAGATCTTGGCGCATACAAGGAGTAAGATATAAAAGAAGATAAATAAGCAAGATTATTCTTTGTCTATGACTAAGATGATTCTGTGATAGCAATAATAATAATTTATTACGACACCATAATTATCTTGATAATTTATGCAACGTATAAGTATAATAAAATTTGTTAATTTTTCTAGTTAAATACGTATTTTATATGAACGACAAAGAATAAGTTTCCATTGTTTGGTTAGAGTTAGAGTTAGAGTATGAAAAGACAATAAGCATGTACATTGACAAACGATAAGCAATGAGCTGCAAGCTGTGAACACCTCAAATTATGAACTTATTAAACAATATTCAAAAGCAAGTAATCGTTAAACTGAGCAAGCGTTACATCCATGCTCGACATTACTTGTTATGTGTTCATAATTTCTGAATTTATATTAATTCATCTATTAATATTGCTCATCTATGTACTTGGACTTTTTTTTCATTCTATTTTCTCTTAGTACAGAAACCCAATAATATATGAGAAAAACCCTGTTTGAGATACATATATTTTAATAAGTCTAATATATTTAACACACAACAAAAATATATTCAAACATATAATTTGTTACTCTTATCTAGAATATTTTCGTTATTTTCTCTCAATAATATATATTAATCTATAAACTCACCTTCATATAGTTCAATTACAACTTACAGCTCATTTCGCGTTTAGTCAAGGTGCAAGCGGCCAAAGAGGGCAGAATGTAAGTAAAACCACAGAGGAATAGAAATTAATAGTAGAATCAGCATCAAATGATAGAAGAAAAGAAACCGAAAAGAAGAGAGAAGAGAGAGAGAGAGAGAGAGAGAGAGAGAGAGAAAGTGAGGGTATATATCAGGAATCTCGCGCTTTTTCCGCTTGCAGAATTGGTCGCCACAGGTGGAGTCCACTACTTACGAGCTTCCTTCGGAACTAGAAATCGAGTTGAGACTTCCGGCGGTATCGCTGGCTGCAGATCCTTTGTTGTCAAAGCGCTGGTAGGCCGGCATGATCTCCTCGGATCGTTGTATGCTGCACGGCGTGCTGTTACGTTTCCGGTTCGATAAACCGGCACCGCGTGCCACGGCGCCGGCACTTCCACCAATGCTGATGATCATCCCGCCGCACTCTGCGTTGTAAACCAAACAAGAAATACCGCTAAACTATTGTCTTTTATTAATATCTGCGTACGCCATTACTGCAGCGGCTCATCTCTCCCTCATCCTCAGGTATCCAAGAGAGCTACCGAATTTCCGGTTATTAATTTAGTGTATCTTCGCACGAGCAATAATAGAACAACAAACACAATTTCAAACATGTAAGATTTTGTTGGCTACGTCGTTGTTTTCTGCTCTCCTTGTCCCTCCCTCTCTCTCTCTCTCTCTCTCTCTCTCTCTCTCTCGTGCAAATTTCTTCTCTCATGCCTTGTTTTCTTTGCTTTCTCTCAGCTCTTTTTTCCAGAAATAGTCTAATGATCAGTGATAAAAAATGCAGAACTGAAATGAGACCTTGTAATTCGAGAAACATTTTAAATTGAATTCTACTAGGTAGGAAAAGGGAATGTAAAAATTTATTGAGGTGTTATATTTAGAGTGAAATGTAACGGGATAACATTGCTCGGCCATTTGCATTTGACATTAACATAGAAATATATTTAATCTTAGTATCCTACGTGAAAAATTATAAGTTTTGACGTTCGTTGTATTACAATTAGCGTGAGAGTATTTATGAACCATAACAGACTATTCTTTTTGGAATTACTAAATGCAAAATAAAATTAATTTATAGAAACATAAAATATCATTGACGATCCAATAAAAATTTGTTTCAATGGCAATAGATAGCACACAAAAGTATATATAAATAAACCTTCAGTCGTTTAGTATGTTTCATTAATCTCCTTAGAATAAATTTACGCAGGCTGTCGAAAGAAAAAATTAGTCAGAAACAATTAATGTATCTTTCTTTATGTATGATATTGATATTATTTCTATAAAATTTAATTAGTTGTAACTTTAGAAAAGTTAATGTGTATATTTACTCTACCATATTATTCCATGTTGTATGATTATTGAATAACTCTCCGGACGCCTTAAGTACAAAGATAATTATATATACAATTATACATATACATACATTTTGTACACTTATAATTTGTACATCGAATTTAGAAAAATGAAATAAAAATGTATAATTATCAAGTTAGTACGTAAGGATTGTCCGGAAATAATTTATCTGACAGCACATTCAACGATAAATTGTAATCAATGACATCGCATTTATCTGACAGCACATTCAACGATAGATTTGTAATCAGTGACATCGCAGAAATATATATATTGTAACGTAAATATACTCCGTAAAAGCATTGCAATGATTCAGGACATCGAAAAATCAAAAGCCGTGTGAGTAGCGTACTCTCACCTTAAGCACGTATCAACAGCGGCTTCTAAGAAATAATAAAAAAATAACGTATCACACAGGTGGCCAACTTACCTCGATGCAATTGAAAAATTCAAATTGACCACGCGACGATCTAGATTCAAAAGCTGTATGAAACGGAACGATTATAACGTGACACACGGTGCCGAGACACTATTCTAGAGTCACGAAAAGACGCCAGCACAACTATACTTGTGCAAATAGGATATGAGTTTCCTGATCTGCGTGGCTCGCGTCATGTCGGAATAAATATTGCATAACTAGAGACGATGGACTCTGCATCTCTGAAGAAATATAAAAAAAAACAGACGATATTTAACACGTATATTGATAGAGCTTATTATTAGAGCTTATTGTTAGATTACAGCCCAGGAAACTCGTGCGAACGTTTCTCTAGAAATAACGTATCAATGCTACGTAGAAATAGCATCTACGATCTAGAATAACGAGAAGGAAAGGAATCACCTCGTGACTATTTGTAGAAACGTGCAGATTCGCAAAATACTTTCTCTTCGATTGTATATAATAAAAAAAAAAAGAAAAATAATATTCGATGACAACGCATACGAGAATCCTTTGCGGATCCACTGTACTGAGCCGATTCAACTTTAGGCAAGAGAGTATTTTCCGACAACAATCACGAGAGAGACTCGCACGACTCCGACTAAAGCACGGCCTCTAAAGAGTGATGTGTAATGTGTTTCATTGTTGCTGTTAACAACGGTGTTCATCGGTAGAGACAGTATTTCTTGTTCTTCCTATCGCAAGTCCTCCTGCAACGTGTACTCACATTTCGTCGAAGGCTTGATCCAATTTTACGATTAATGGAATCAGAGTATACCTGAGTAAAAATCTCTATCAATAATGAGCGGTATTCATAGTCTGTTCTTATTTTAAGACCGTTTTAAGTAATATCGTAAGATGTTAACACGGTTCTCTGACATCGATTGGTTCGTGACATCTTAAAACTGATACTTAAAATGGTCTTAAATATAAGATCCGACTATGAGTACCACCCAATACCTCGCTCTTCCATTCGCGCGACAATTTTTATTACGCGCGATATGGATTATGCGTATCGTCCTTCATATTCCGCGACATAATAGTCTTCGTGCAAACATTCAGAATTCATTGTCGCGAAGACGTACAATTCGATGGTAAACGTCGCGCCCGCCCCCACGTAAGACGTAAATATCCCTCCCCGGCCACAGTCGATCGCTCCCGTGTCAATGCAAAAGTAATGAGGAAAATAAAGTGAAAAAGAGATGAAAAAGAGAGAAGTGTTTCTACTGAGAGAGAGCAAATCGGACCTGTCCCCGTCGCCGCTCCCCTCGCCGTCGCTGCTCGCGGAGCTCGGCTGCCGGCCGCTCCTACCACCGACCGTGTCCTCCGGCGGCAGGACCTCCTCGCTCCTGTGAACTGTAAAGGACGACTTCCCCTTCTTCCCGAAACCCAGCCGCCGTTTCCGTCCTTCCTCGCCCACGCATGTACCACCAACAGACGCACGTGGTATGTTATGGATTTTGCGTGATGTGATAACAGTTTTGTTGTTCGTTTCGTTTCGTTCGTTCGTTCGTTCGTTCATTTGTGGTTGCAAGTTGCGGTAGCAAGAGCAACAGTTGTAAGCATAATGTCAGTTTATAGAGTCAATTTTTTTTACAGACGTATACGTTTTTTTTTTTCATGAGTATACGAGAGTATCAATTCAAGTTTTTTTTTTTGGCGATCGGTCCAGCAAATCGATGATGGTGATCCGTGTGGAGTGTTCCATGAACACGAGCACACGAGAGCGCGGGGCGACGATCGGCCGCCACGATGAGAAATCGTGCAGGTGGGTGCAGATCGATGACGTGAATGGTCCCCCAGCGTCGAGAGGTGGTTGGTTGGTAGAAGTAAAGTGTGAGTGTGTTCATGTCGAAGAAGAGGCAGATAGAGATGAGGAAGGATGGCGGAGAAAACAAGAATACAATTAGAATGTACATACTGCCCCGCTTATTGGGTTTTTTTGCTTTGTCACGATATGCTCTTGTTATCGTTCAATTCGTTATCCGAATCGAAATGCAATCCGCGCAACCGTAGTGACCAAGACTTGAAATATGAAGAATAAGACAACAGATAATGAATAATTAGTAGAATAAAATCATTCAAATAGAGCACAACGTACTTTTTGTATCAACTGGTTTAGTAACTTTATCTTACGTTTCATATGTATAAAATACTTGGAAAATACCATGTATAAAATACCTATATTTAGAATTTTATATACAAAGTAGTTATAACTGCATATAAAGTATGAATCTAAATATTTTATATATAAAATACTTACACATAAAGTATTACATGACTAAGTATTTTATACATAATAATCAATCACTAATTCTGCATTTCAACCGCTCACGTTTTCAAACACATGCAAGCTTATTTCTTGTTACCCGTAGTTTCTTATTCTTCTTATTCTTCATTCTTCATTCACATTTTGACTGTAAACTTTATATAAAACGTAACTAAAAATTTTTGTTGTATGCGCTCAAAGCTATTGAATTTATCTTCATTAATATTTAACAAAATGCGTATATCGACGACATATTTGCATTATCCTCATTTGTACGCACGTAGCGAGAGCACACCGTTATAATCTACACACTAACGATACTAAACTACTCTATCCTAATTTACGAAATATTGATGTTCTGAAGAAAACGATATCCTTTTCACTAAAGAGAGAAGATATAAATGTCAGGAAAATAGAAAACTGTCTAATGTCGCGCAAGATGGTGTCATCGATCAAACGTTCTAATATCGCGCACCGGAAGACTTTAGTTTCGCGCGAACGATCGATCTTTACGAAAATCACGACTACGTATAACACGTAGAGACTAAACGCAAACTTAACTAGAAATGGCCAGCGTGACAATGTGTTACCTGTCGCAGATAATTGGCTGGTACTATTGCTCTTCTTGCTCAAACCCGCTTGGTACTGCACCGCGCTTCCGCTACTGCTGCCACTTCCGCTTTTACTTCCTGGCGAGCTCTTACGACCTCTTCTCGTTGCTTCTTCAACGTTCAATGCAATCGCAGTATCGCTGAAACTACCCGTGTCTGCGAAACAAGAACATGTACTTGTATACGTGTAGAATTAAATCAGAGCGGCCCGAGGGTGAAGTAAAAACTATGAGCCACATCTCTGTGTGTTCCTGTCTTTTGTTATGTCAGTTTAGAAAATAAAGGAATGAAAGCACGACACAAACTTACATAATAGAATATAGCTTCGGTCAGTTAAATTAAAAATTTAGCAACACACGGTTGAAAACATAATTATCATGTAAAATATAAGGAGCAATGCGCGTGTAATCTTTACTCTACTATTGTTGAAGAAAGATAGAAAAAGACGTTTCGTGACTCGGCGAACTCAAAAGGAACTTTTAGAACATTTGCGTGGACGTGTGTCTGTAGTTTATTAACTACCGCTAAATTCGAGTGCAACTAGTTCGTGACTGTAAATCTCGACGAAAATTCATGTTATACTTTTGCAGAGTTCGGTCTTCGCTCTCTTAGTTATATATATTACGTCATCGTGACAGTAAAATCGATGTCTGTTTAAAGAGAATTTATATTCAGCGAAAAATCAGAGCTATAAGCGTTAAATAAAATTTCTATTAAACAGCAAGATGTGGATACAGTAGATGAATACAATAGAGTGGACAAGATAGAGAAATCAAATTTAATAATCAAGAAATGTAATTTTAATAAACGCAACTTTCGATATTATAGATATGTAAAATTATTAAAAGTCCATAAATATACGATTATGTTTATTCAATAGATAACATAATCGATGCAAATATGTCTTGTTATTAAAAAATGGAATTTGTCGAGAAATAACATTTTAGAGAGCTAATTTCAATCACTATGAACTTTCTCTCTTACCTTTCTCGTCTTGCGGCACATCGGCATTACTGAGACTTCTGGTGAACTGACTTCTCTTATCATGCTCGTCATGGCCATTGTCGGTGACCTGGCGTCTGGACGTCTTCTCGTACGAACTCGACTGACTGGTGTACTCGCTGCTTTCGGGCATAGATGAAGAACGACGATTCCGAGCGTCGTCGTCGTCGCGACGATCGGCGACGACGTCGACGTCGTAAGCGGATTTTTTTCGGGATCGTCGTCGAGCGGACGACAAGGATGACGGCGGCAACGGTGGCAGAAACGTCGACGCCACATCGGCGACATTGGCGAGCGGCGACGTTTTCGTGTTTTGTGGGTGTTGGTGGTGATGATCGTTGATCCGTGGGTGGTAGTTTTTAGCAGTGTCGGAGGTAGCGGTTTGGGAATCAAAGAGACTCGAATTAGCGTTACCAGGGCGGGGTGCTCGGTTACGGGGCCTACGCGGATCGCACGGGCCAAATCCGCAGTTCTCGCTGCACTGGCTCTCGCTCTCCATCGAGTACTCGTAGTACTCGAGGGTGTCGCTGATCGCCACGTTCCTCTTACTACTTCCCTGCGGTTGCTGGTGTTGCGCTTGCTGCTGCTGATGCTGCCGTTGCTGCTGCGGTTGCTGCTGATACTGCTGACTTGAGTGCCGCTGTTGCTGCTGATGGAACTGCATGAATTGCTGCTGACGCTGCCTCTTCTCGAGCATTTCGAGATCCCTAGCCTCCGGACAGCTGCTGTTCCGCCTACGATATCTATGCTTCGTCTCTAACGATGAACGCCGAAGATCGTCACCCTTTCGCGATAGCGATCCCGACCTACCTAACTCCGAGGAGGACAGTGCTAGCTCACGACACTCCGGGCAACTACTCTTACGCCTAGCGCGCGATATGTATCGCGCATCGCGATTCGAAGAACGTTGCGACCCTGACCTAACTAGCCCGCGTGCCATCGGATAACTGCGATCCTGATATCGGTCCTCATGATCGTATCTTGCGTCTAAGTAGCTATCACGATCTTGTTCCGCGTCAAAGAAGCCCGATCTAATGCCGTCGTTTGCTCTAGCATTCGCCACGTAGCCCGAAGTACGACGGAAATAATCAGCGCCGACTACCGTCTCCATCGATCCGAACTCCTCGTCAGACTCCAGTACAGTTCTCTCACCGTTTCCTCGCGGACCATACATTCGTAGATCTCTACTCTCTGGACAACTGCTATTTCGCTTGCGACGATAAATACGTCTAGCACGGTCTGCAAGCGAATTCACGTCTTCGTCTGAGTGTAGGGTTGGCGTAGACTCCGTACGTTGGATTGTCATCAATTTCTTGCTCTCCATTCTCGATTGAGCGCCTGACACGTCTCTGATCCGTGGCAGGATCTCGTAGTCACCTGCGCCTCCATCTCTACTACCTCTCCTATTTCTTCGCCTTCGTCTTCGCGGCACAAATCCATCTTCGTATGTTTCCGCCTTACTGTGCGTAGTCCAATAATTGTAATCGTCGGACGAACGAAAACTGATGTAATCGTCCATCGTGAACTTTTTGTCATCATCATCAGATAGTGCATAACATTTTCCCTGAACAGCACAAGAACGTTTCGTTACATCATGAAAATATTCACCTTCGCGCACTGATCCACTAGTTCTTAAGGCACAAATGCCTTTGTCTAGGTAACTAAACTGCTTCTGTTCGTAGTCCTTTTCCCGATCTATAAATCCTTCGTCGTAATCAGTGTCCCAGTTCTCGCGAGTCTTATACCTATCCTCTTGATAAGAACGACCAGTTGCTCCATGAGACCGCAGGACACCTTTTACGTCCTTCGACATCCACTCATCCATGTTAGTAGATTTTGTGACATCGTGGATTTTTGTGGCGGATCTCGCGAGAATATCACGATTATAATTTTTATTAGACGAAAAAGTTTCCTCAATATTACTATAGATATCACCAATCGAAGTACGAAGATCGCTGTCTACTTTCTTGGTTCTTGTTCCTGGAGATATATCCCTAATATACGAAGTGTCGTGATTCAAGTAACTTCCATCCATGTATTTTTTCTTATTAATATCATCCTTGTCCAGAACATTCCTGAGATTAGCACGATCGTTGTCACTAAAGAGACCATTGTCTTCCGTTAAATGGGAACTATAAGAAGCTTGATAATCGTCGGTCTCGGTCTTCTGCTTGTCGAAACTGGGAACGTAAATCTCCGTTTCGCCGCAACTAAATTCCGAGTCATATCCATAAAACGGTTTGTGGTCCTGATCGAGCAGAAAATCGTAATTTGTCTCTTTATTCGTGAGACTCGTAGGCACTTTGTCGTCACCGTTAGAATCGTAGTAGGATTTGCTCTGATCGTCCAGCGCAGGTATCTTGTCACCATACCCGGCATCGCTGAGAGAGAGATTCCGCTTGAGTTTTCTTCTGGCCGTCCTGAGACTGTCGTCGCTGAATATGTTGCTCGAAATGCTCTCGTACTCGAAACTCTTGGCCCGGCGCGATAGCAGACCGACGGCCCCTGGCCTAGTACCGAAACGATCACCGTATGTATCGTGCATCACGTCGAAGCTCCTAGTCTTAGCGGACAAAAAAGACCTACGCGGATGCAATCTAGCGTCTATGCTCCTAATATCGAAATGATCAGGGAGGTCGATCGAATCGACAATCGGTTGCCTTATCCTCGTCTTCGTCCTCGTCGTCACGTCGTCGTCGTCGTCGTCGTCGTCGTCGTCGTCGTTATCGTCATCGTCGTCGTCGTCGTCGTCGACGTCGTCGTTCTCATCACCGCGGAATCGTTACGTGCACGCGACAACGTACCAAATCCTCCTGCGAGATACGGCGTCGAATACCTAGAGCGAAACTTTTCCACAAAACGATCGTTAAAGTTGACGCGGAGGCAATCTTCGACGTATATCGCCGGTATACGATTCTTAGCGCTACTAGCTACGAGTCTCTCTGGCTTGAGTATGTACCCCTCGGAAACGCTGTACTCGCTGGTCTCGGAGCTGTAATATCTCAGCATGTTCTCGTCGACGGTCTGCGATCTCGTGAATGGCGTACACATCTTTTTGTACAACGAGCGTACCACTGCGGACTTGCTCCGTACGAGGGGATATAGGGTGGGACACTTGCTAGGGTTGTTGCTTTTGGGCTTGATGGGACAATGACATTCGCTGCAGGGTACCCTAAGTTTGTGCCTGCGCCTATTGCGCCTAGGGGGCGGGGGTATGGGGGATATGGCACTGGGTATTAAAACTGTCGGTCTGTAAACAATGTTTTTCATATAGAGAGTTTAGCACTTTTGCGGGAACACAGCCAAAGGGTAAGCCCATTCCGCTTTCCATCTTTCTTTAGCTCCTTTTTCTCTCTCTTTTTCTTTCTTTTTTTCTTTTTTTTTTATATAACCGCGCGTTCGCGATCGATCGAACGCATATCGGTCATTAACATCTCGGAATTCGACTCTGTCGATTCGCCGAGAACAACGGGTCGGCATTTCAGAAGAGACACGCGGCGATCGATGTACTTAGCAATGCTTTTTCTTCATCTCTATGAACGCGATGAGACACAACTACTTAACCGTTCGACCAACGCCACGCACTGATCCCTGCTTTCTTAGAATGAGATACTAATTAAATGGACATTGACACAGTGCATAGGAAGTGCAATCTAATTATTCTGTAGAGAAGGCGCGAAGGATATCGGAAGACTTGACACGTACACAAGCAGGATGTGAAAATGTGCAACTACAGGATACCCATTTAGTTGACAATGTCCATTTAATCCAGGGATTTTCCTTGACTCGAGAGGTTGAGCCGATGAGTGTGCTATTCTTCAGATTATCGATTTTATCGTGACATAAAGGACGTATAACGATGCATTATAATGTTGCAGCGATATATGTATATTTAAAACAGCACGCTCGATCCTCAGATCCTCCTTCCTACGGGGTATTCTATTGAATCTGCGTTGCTTTGCACATTGATTGCCGCAACACGAGGTAATTCGTACGCTAAAATAACGGAAATTTAATTATAAAACTATACTCACATTAGCGCTCTCGATCCACGTGGTCGTTCCGATTGCGTACTAAAGGCACTGCTCGTTACCGAAGCTATGCTTTCCATGTCAGAATCTCCAAGATCACCCAATACATCTTTGTCGGGACTTAAATGCCCCCTCCTCGGCCTGTGCATTCTGTGAGCGTGACTGTGTGACAATGTTAATGGATCGTGTCCGATTGAAGGAAGATCCGAGTCCGAAAGGCCACTATAATGCCTTTCCCAACCTGAGAATAAATTAATTAATTATTGAAGATACAATAAAAATTTATAAAAAGAATGAGTTAATATATTAACTATTATGTTGGTTGTCATTCTTTCAATAGTATAAAAAAATAAGCAAATATCGGAAAAACGCAATAACTTTTCCGATGAAAAACATTAAACCTCTCATACCAGTGCTCCTGTATATCGACTGTCTGTTGCGATGTCTCATGAATCTTGCTCGTTCCTCAAAATCTTGCGTGACTCTTTCCTTTAAAGCTGCCGGGATTTGAGGTAGCTGACGTTTCTTTGGCGATCCAGTAGGTGTGGCGGTCGCCGATCTCGAGCCGAATCTAAATAGGTAGCATTAGTAAGTCCAGTTCTAGTTCCCACAAATATATAATCTAGATAATCTAGATGTCAAAAGAATTTTCCCTGTGATATTTTATACCTTGTCGTATGAACGTATCCGTGCGAGTAGGGAATGGATCTATGCTCGGGTGGAGATAAGGAACGATGACCGGTGGGACTCTGAGACCTTCCTCGATATCTAATGCTTGGAGAATCCATAGGTGCCGCGCTGTGCGACCTGTGACCCATCATTCCCCGATGGATCTCGTCCTGCGGTACATATTTAATAATGTACATCTCTATAAATGTTATCTAATAACATGTACATATCGATTTCATTTTATTTATTTTAGTCTAGTTAAAAGTTCCCTCAGTCGAACCTCAGATACTGTCACTCCTTTTATAAATGCTCCATTAAAAAAATTTTTGCGATCGGTGCTCAGATGATAATTAAAAACGTTCTCGAACACTTACTTTACGATATGTCTGGTAACTCGAACTGATAGTAGCGGGTTGGTCATGAGAAATCATTAGGGCTGCCCTTTTGCGTCCCTGAGGTGACATATCTCTTCGACTCCGATGCTCACCATCGATGCAGAGTTCCCTCTCCGGCGGTGGGCTAGAATAGTGGCTGCTCCAGCATGCGTTCATTTTTTTTTCATCAATCAGTGAATGTTGTGTGCCTTACAAGTTAAATGAGGCGAGTGCTGTGATCTCGCGCTAATCATTAAAATGCATGCGGCCAGGATGGTGGGAAAGCGGAAAAAAAGATGTTCAGAACGCTAGGAGCGAGAATGAGCTACACAGCACCGAGAACGGAGCCAAAACGTGAAAATAAAAATAAAATCCGCAAAGTCCTTTCATTCGTTATCTTTCAAATCTTCTTCGTATCTTTCATATTTTGGCGCATAAAATATAAGCGTGAGCTCAATTCGACTTTTCAGATTGCAAACTGCAAATGCATATCTCCTAATTTGGCGCGAAGCAGCTCCAAGTTACTCGGCAATGCAGTCGAACGTTCTCCTTGGTGTTCTCGATCGCGGGATTCTTTTCGTTGCCAAAAATGAAAGTACACGCGATAAAAAAAAGGGTGACTCGTCATAAATTAAGAATATGCCGTGTAAGTGCGTTAGATGAGTGCCAAGTACGTAAGTATTGTACGTCGAAAAGAACGATCGTGGCGCAAAGTGTGTAAGATATCCAGAATAATTTTCACCACTTTTGGCAACGAAAAATCTGGCGAATTGCAATCGAAGCTTCGAGAAATTCAATCCACCCCGGCCGATGCACTGCAATGCACTAAGCATTCTAGAAGCCATGTCTTGCATCTAATACAATATGCGTATATGCAAGAAGCAATGACAGCATGACGTCTAAAGTGCCTACATGAATGGCGATTTGCTAAATATTCGTATTTAATATATCGTTGTTCATTTCACTATATTTTCGCGCCTTGACAAAGAACGAAAACGAAAGATAGATATTGTCTCAAAAATTTTATAACACCGAAACATATTGTGCATTGCAATATTCACCGACTTGCGTGTACAATATCGCGCGCGTGAAAAAGTACAAAAGGCGTTAGAGATTTTCTGTTTGTCGATAGTAGTTCCCGTCACCGACGACGTCCGTATCAGAGTCGTTGTTTCTTTTTTTCTCCAAAAAAAGGACACTTTCTTTCCTCCTTTCCTCCCATCCACGCTTGGAAGTAATATCCTTGTCAAATAAAGGTTTCTCGTGTCTTTGTTGTCCGTTCTTAAATTAAATTAGCTATATGATCACGTCAGTACACGTCCCATTGTCACGTCCCTATTACATCTCCGGCTTGTCGGCACGACTAACTGACTGATCTACGCGCAATACAGAACCTAGCGGTGAGGATGCAAGACGTGTGACTGCGTGATTCGTGAAAGATAAGATATAAATTGTAATGGCCGTACCGCTTATAATTTGACGGCATATTATGAAACCTAAAAAATAAATCACAAAGCACACGATTAAAATTAAAATCAATGGGCGATGGCGCGGCCGCGGCCGACGCGTCATTGTCTAATTTTTTTATCTCTTCACAAGTCATATATTTTTAACATGAAACATTTTGTCCGCATTAAATGTATCAATTTAAAATATGTCCAATTATGGATTTTTATAGATGCGTATGCTAAAAAAAAATTCCTGATTGAAAATGGGCGAATTAGAAGAGTTTGATCATATCTATCAGAATTCTGGTTATCTCAATTGGAATTATAATAGATCGAATTAGAAAATTCTTTGTCCATTTTTGATCTGAATTCCAATTAATGCAACCAGACTATTTTTTTCAGTGTAATATTTTTTAATTCTATCAATATTTTTAGGATATCGCGAAGACATGAAAAAAATGGTATAGAATTTGTATAATATTATGGAAATAAATTTTTTTGTAATTCTCGTGTGATACATCAGAAAAGCTATTCGTAGTTCGTCATTAAATATAATAACGTTCGCGCAGAATTATAATAAAAATATTTTATTAAAACGCAGACATTGTTCATTGTATTAGAAGCTTGATTTGACGATGGATATGTTAATATAACTGGCGAAACCCTTTCGAATAATCTCATTAAACGATATTGAAGGTTGTTTAAATATGCGCAGGATGTCCGCTGCTCTCAAAGCAGACTGGAATGTTTCAATTATTCGGAGAAAGCTTTTACAGACTAATGCGCGCTTAGAAGCGTTCGCTTTGCAGATCGAAGCTGATATAAAAAAAGTGCAGAGTGATGCCGGATAGTATCTCGGCTTATCCTCATCTCTGCCACTCTATCTGCCAAGCCTATCGAAGATAGCCTACGTGTTCATTGAATTCGCTACATTGATTCGATTTGCCGCGTGTATCGTCGATGAAAAAATTTATGGGCAAGCTATCTTTAAAGCGAGAGCAAGACGTGTGTTGACATTGAAACAATTTTAAAAAGTTTACTTGCTAAAGGGAGTTACAAAGAATTATATGAAAATTATAAATATCGCGCATATGCATATCACAAATTTTGTTACGTAATAAATTTCGTTGTCGTTGATGATTAATTCACGTCAACGCAGATTTCACAGATTTCATATTTTCGTAACTGAATAATTTATTACACTAGCAATAAATTATATTTAACTTTCTTCTCTGAGATCCATTAATTTAGTAGCTGTGTGATTTCGAATAAGTTCATTATTATTACAGATTAGCTCTTTAAACAGTTGTCTTCTTATCTTCATTCTCTTTTGACGTGCACTATTGCTTCTTTCGTTTCGCACATAAGTAGAGACTTATGACTTATGAAAGCTTCGACATAAAAATTACTTTACACTCAAGAATAATAATCGGACATTGTCACTGAAGTGTTAATATGGATACGAGTTTCAGGCTGACTTCCGGAGCTAGCAACGGTCGCGGGATAACTGCTATGTCAATTGGCTTGTTGCCCAGTTTTATAACTTAGCTTTTACCCTCTCTCTTTCTTTCGATTGACCCCTTCCGCTCGAATCTTATCTTTTTTCAAACTTCCGTTAGCTATCATTTATTTTATATATTCGTACTTGTCTCTATTTTCTCTCTGCACTTGGCTTACATTTTAGTCATGTAAGAAAGAAAGCAAATCAGAACTCAGTATTGGAACCGCTTCCAAAACTTCACGGAAACTATTTTCAAATTATTAAAAGAAACAACTCTCTACAATAACTTTATAACAAATGATCGGTAAAAAGAGGGCAAAAGAGTAAAAGAAATTAATGAAGACTTTTTTATCGTGTATTTATTTTAAGCCACGTAAAGTTCTCTCTAATTGCATGGATTCGATAAACGTCCAATTCTAATGGTAGGATATTAAAGGAAGAAGTTCTTGCGGAAAAATATTCTGTATCGTACACTGAAATAACATTTCTTTGTATAATAAAGATCACGAGAATAATTGTTACGCAATAATAACGATAATAGTTACGAAATCTGTAAACTAAATTTTAAATCGATGACAGCAATTCTGTCAGATTAATATCGTAATTCTTACCCATCAAGTATGTTGAATTTGGATGCCGCATTTAATTTTCAATAATGTATAAAATATAAACTTATCTCTATTCGATATCTCATGATTCTCGCGTAAATGTTTCGATTTGCGTATGACGGATTTATGCAGTATTCAACGGAGACATTCTAAGCTAATTGAATTAAACGATTTTTTTCCGACGGTTTAAATATACTCTCTTTCGTTAGACCAGGAGATTTATATATATTACAGAGATTTTAAGAAATAGCCTTACCTAGAGGAACTGCCAATACTGCTTATGCTAGCACCGTCAGCCGTTCTCCTCTGTTCTCTAGACACGTCACAATCCGTAATGTCGCACTCCGAGGTGTCAGAGTCACTTAATCTCGAGGTGGTCGATGGCGGACTAAGATGACAATCTATCATGTCATCATCTTGGTAATGCCTGAAGAATAAAAATAGTTAATAGTCTTAGCGATAGTAGTCACACTCGTTTTGTTGCATTTGTTGCAGTTTATCTCTATTTGTTTAGAAACAAAAGAATGAACAAAATGAATTTGTAAAATACAGATTTCTGAGATAAGACATTGTACAATGTTACGTCACATTATACGCAGAGAGAGGTATAACATAGGAACATTGTCAAACATTCCGTAAGGGATTCGTATCGATGCGAGGCATTTATTTGATCGCTTTTAGCATTGGCATTGGAACTACTAGCATCCGCGAGTGCGAGTCATACCTAACGTGCCGGTGTTCTCCGTGAGCGGTCAGAGAATGCCATTCTGGTTCCTCGTCCAGGAGACATACTGCCAATTCCAGGACAGCCTCGCCGAGGAAATCGTTCGCCTCGTACCTAGCGTAGTCCCAAACCGTAATTTCCAGTGCTCTTTTCCTCAGGTCCGAACGTCTGACTCCATTATAAACAAAAGTCTGATTCCATCTGGGATCGTTCGTGTTTGCCACAGTCTTCGTACGTCGTTTCGATTTTTCGCTACAGTGACATTTAAAAAAGAGATGTATAAAACACTCGGAAGTTTAGTCGGTAATTAAATTAGAATAAAATAGGCCACAAACTGAATAATCATTGTTATAACATTTTGCATGGAAAGAACAATTTTGATAAAATATCTAAAAATTTAAGTAGATACAGACCTAAAAATAATTTTGTTGGATCATCAAAATAATTATGCAGAAAACTCAAACATAATGAGCAATGCTGCAAAAAGTTTCAACATTCTATCAACCAGCTTGAGCGTCCTACATAATTATTTTGATAATCCCCAACAAAATTATTTTCAAACCTACATAGCTAAAAATTTTTAGATACTTCAGCAAGACCGTTCTTTTTCAAAACAAAATTATAATGTTAACGTATATACATCAAATAATATATTTTAAACAATGTATTTTGAGTTGAGTTGAGTTTTTATGATATTTGATTAAATTTATCTGTACATGCTTCGATACTCAAATTATGAATATCGGAGCATTCACAGGTATTACGCGTATTTCTTCGAAATTTTCAATTGAAATGTACTATCATCGAATACTATAAAATAATACTCAGTAAATTCACTTACCTTTTATCAGGAAGCAGAAAAACTTTGGCGTAAGGATTTCTAGGTTGGCCGTTGCTCTTTGGGGTGAGTCCCGCGGCGCATATTATCGTGACAATCAGCTGAAGTCCCACGGGATCGAAGCCCAGCTTCACCTGGATGCTGCCGCCCACGTTCACATTTCCAGTCGGATGTCGGGAGTGTCGACTGCGTCCTTGGGCGTACAGGTCCGGCGAGCCCGGCGACGTCACTAAAACCGAGGGTTTCTCACGCCTCGCGTCGTACAATTCTGCAAGTGATCGTGCAGCTTCGACTAGGATATAACTTTCCGTATCTACGATCTTGCAGCGATTCACGTGAAGAGAAGGTACGCGCGAGATTCGTCATAAGGAAAGTAACGAATAGAAGTAAGAGACGACGGTAAATGAAGAAGAAGAAATTCGGGTGGTCCAATGAATGAACAAACTCTCATGCTTTTATTGCGCTAACACATTCATTGCCAACCGATCACTGGCACTTACATTTATTGGCAATGAATATGTTAATATTCGTGTTCATACGATATGTATTAGATAAATAGTCAAACGACAGAAAGATTGAAAATGTATCCTCAAGACGTCCAAAGTAGTGTTTGAAAGATTGAGATGTCTATTAGACGTCTATTCGAGAAATCTCTGCGTCGATCGGATACTTGAGTGTGCGAAATTATAGATGCGAAAACCAAGTTCTATCTCACAACGTCATCGAACCCCTAGGGATGTTGCAAAATCGATAAACTATTTCTGAACAGTTCTGGAAACACCCACGTCTTTCGTAGAAGTGAAGTCCGCATGCACGGGTTCTCACAATCACGGAAATCCGTGACAACGAGCCACGAAAGGAATGAGGGGAGTTATTATGATAATAATGTTAGATCGATATATAGTGGAGATAATAGACAGTGTAGTGAATACAGCAAATTACATTTATCCATAAGGATTACACGAGATACTCGTGATTTGTTATAAGTAGAAAGGAAGCACGAGATATGAGGGATTTATATATTATATATCGGCATCTTTATATCTTGTATAATACATATAATATATAATAGTTGTTGCTCCCATAAGACTATACCTATACAACGGTGCTCTTTTAACGAAGGGAGGAGGAAGGGTGCATTAGCACTACGATCTACATCTACGTTAAACATCGACGATACTCAAGGCAGAATAAATAATAAATCAATCTTCGTTGCTTCGCCATACGTCTTGTCGTAGCATCGAAATCATGATTCCGGTTCCGTTTGTTGAGATTTGAAGGCAAAATCTCACGAAACGGTGGTCGATAACGGAGATAAAAGGCTAATGGTACAGGCAAGAAACACTGATTAATAGAAAATGATTTAAAGAAAGTTGTCTGAGGCCTACCCCATAGTAAGCATTTCTTAAGACCTGAAATGCGAAAAATGTAATTCGTAGCATAATGTTATTTTTCATATGCTTAATACACTTATGCGAGTAACGCAATATTATTAACGAGAGGCACAGTGCACTGTTTTACGTGTAATGAGATTTAATTAATAAATATTTTATTAATCAAAATAATTAATTTTCAACTCTTCCGTCTGTTTTTAATTTGTGCTGATTTTCTTATTATTCATCTTCCCTATAAATCTTACCTAAAATAGTATAAAAAAATTTACGGAAAAATTTTTTAAATGAAACAAACTACGTAATATTTTCTTTGATCAACTAAAAGGAAGATGTAAATGCATTTCAAACAAAATATTTCTGATTCTATAATAATCACATTCAGTTTAAAACAAAACATCTTCCTAATATACTCTTTTCTAACTCTTTGTTGCTACATCCAAATTGACATCCTGAGAAGAATGGAAGTCGATCTACCTAAAACGATCTCATCCCTTTTAATTGTATAATTACTATTTGTGTATATACCTGCAAAATACAAACAATAATGCAACATTACAACAATGTTATAATTTCTCAATCAATATAATAGTAATATAACATGTTGTATAACACACTGTTGAGTAGAAAATTATAACATTAATGTAATGTTACTGTTTGTGTTCTGCGGTTATATATAATTTTATATATGTATATATATAATTTCTTGTAACGCTTATTAAAATGTTTATTAGAATAACGCTCGGTACTAAAAGCCCACATGCAAGACTACTATATTATACCAAATTGATAATAAATATATTTAGAGTTTTATAAAAAAAAATATGTTACAAGTATATTCCGAGTTTGAGCGAAACGAGTGATAGAATAATCTAGATCACGACATTTGTGATACATAGAAGCGAAATCAAGTCGGAAGACGGCCGGAAACGAAACGTGCTCTGTGTATAGTCACCTTTGTGGTGCGGCGTCGGAGGCCCGGAGATGGTTTCGTGTTTCTGTCTCCACTGGCTCTGAGCAACAATTCTCCTGGATGTCATGGGCGTCGATGGGCCCGGTCCTGCAGGCGCCATACCCATTGTCGATAACTTTCTCTCAACTATGAGCTCAATCTGTGGCTCCAACCTCGATTCGGCGATGATGTCGTAAACCTCTCGGAAGCTTTTGCCTTGAAGGGACCTTCCATTCCATGCGATCACCTCGTCACCTGAAACAGCCGCAAGGGATCGAGCGTCGTCCGATTCGTTCTTATGGACGGTCGTGGGAACGGAAACGGTTTGCTCGCGATTGTTACGAGCGCTGTCGACAAGCCGTGCGCTTTCAAAGCATCGAAGTTGAAAGTACGGATTACCACGACAAAATTTATTAATTAATGCAAAACTAACAATCAATTTCCGGTTATGATTTTTCTAAAGCAGAGCGACACAAATTTTGCAATTTACAATAAGTATATTCCGTGAACAAAGTTTTATCATCACGTATTATCATAATTTCGTCGTAAATAGATAAGACTTGGACGATTAAAAAATTCTCCGAATTGTTTGATCCGAACTTTATAATCTTACCGGGTCTAAGTTGACCTTCTACGTCCGCCGTGCTACCCTTTTTCACTTTCTCGATCAGAGCGCCCATGGAACCATCTTCTAATAGCTTGCCACCGACAACTTTTAGTCCGAGTATACTACTACAGCTTCCGGAACCGGCCGATTTTCGTAAAACCATGTGGCCGATGATCTTCTGACCGTCTTCGCTCGCTTGCCAGGATAATGGATGCTACGGAGCGCGGATAGTATTTCTTTACTGATAATGAGTGTCATACCTTTATAAACCATTAACTATACATATGGATAGTCCGGATTCTGGTCTGATCTTAAATAAGAAAATTTAATAAAATCTAGAGATATTTTATGTGACTTTAATTAATAACCAGTTAATTATGAAATATACTGTTGTTTTGTTGTAAAAGTAATTAATTACAATCATATAGAAACTCATTGTTTATAAAAAACTTGTATAATTTCATCAGTTTCCAGTATCCTGACGTATTTCCATTTTATTGATCTATATTTATTAATTAAAACACAACTAATAGAAAACAATTACAACACATATCAGTTTACAAATACTATTGAGAAATGCTTTGCGTCTTGCAACACATTTCTCTTGCACTATTTGAGATTAAAAAATGTTGTAAGATACAAATATATAATTTTGAAACTAGCATAGGATTTGAGAGGATACGAATTGGTAAATTGTGTCGAGATACAAAAAAGAACAATATAATTAATTAGAAAATGGAAATAACTTTAATTGACTATTTTAAATAAATTGTTTCTAACAAGTAAAAGCTTCATGTTTTTAACTTTCACGAAACCTTTCGCTATCCTCTCAACGAAAAAAGTGGTCTTTATGATTTTCGACGATCTAGGCACGTTGGAAAATTTAGAACAAGCAACCCATGCTGTTGTAACATGAAACATATAAAAGCGAATAGTGACCATTGCTTCATGCGTTACATGCGTGATTAGCAAATATTACAATACCTAGGCATTCTATACAGCATGCATCCCGCACCTGTCCAATTTTTCAATGTCCAAAGATCCCCAGAAAACTTAGAAAAAATTATAGATATACATGTATTGCAGACATGCAAATAACACTGCGTGGTCGTCAATATGCGTAATATTGCGCAAAAATCCTGAGCGTGATGTATTTCTATCTGAGAACGACACGATTCACCAGGTGGATCTACTTCAGGGAAAGGGGTTCGCCTCTTTTTGGCTTCTGTCCTATCAAATGTTGAGCTTCTCAATATCTAATACGAGATTCATAGAAAGCCTGAAGTTTTGTAAGATAAGATTTTAACTCAAATTTTTATTCGTAAAATTATTATATTTTTTTACTATAATGGATTTAATAATAGCAATGCTAGACATTACTGGAAAATAGAGAGTAAAGTCTACACAATCAATCGTATATTCTCGAAAGCTCAAATTTCTGAAATTTCTTAATAGATTCAACCATTTATAATCCATTTCTACTTTTACGCCAGTAAAAGATTTAAAAAGTAATTTTAATCGTTGTAATAACAATGTGATCATGTAACAATATGATCATGTTGTAATGCAAGTTGAAAGAACTTCCTGTCAGATATGTTCGAAACGCAATGCTTAGCAAGATTAAATACCAGACGACAATAAGCTTCTTGTTCGTGATTAAACAATAGTATTATACAAACTTCTTTCAATAGTAAAACAGTTATATAACCGCTCGAAATCGTAATAATTGAAGAGATATTAAAAAATTCTTTGCTCAGAACTGATCGACGACAACTAACGAGGTCATCAAGTCTCATCAGTTGCGATAGCCTTTGGCCGCGATCCAATTTGATTAATTATGAAATAGATACGTTTTTCTTTCGAGAACTGACAACTTTGTCAATCCTTTAATTGGATCGTTTTAGACGTAATTTGCCTCGCGAAAGAATCAAGTGAAATTTTCTAAGCCGCTAAAATACACAGTTAACAAAGGTACAATCGCAATGCATTTTTATTGAATAAGATCTGCGCCTATCAGGACGCGACACAATTATCGATAGGATGTAATCGCACAAATTAATTCCCGCATCGTCAAGTCCCGTACCTTCCTCCTTCGATTTATTCGAAAGTCAGTAGAATCAATCGCGCTCGACAGTGTTTAATTTTCCTCGTTTTTACCTTCACGCATCGCAATCAGTTTCCACTTTTGCCTCCGAGAAAATAGAAGCAAGCCTCGAATTACGTGACTTGTTTGGAAAATAGAAGTGAAAAAGATTGATCCCGATCGAGTTGCTTCAAGAGATACGTAAGTCGTTGCCAGATAAATTATCCGATTGCCGACTGTTTATCCAGGGAATTTAATCTTGGTTATTTGCTTCGTATAATTGGACCGCGATCCCTGTAACCTATCTTCTTAGTCTATCAAACAATAAGCAGTGCACGCAATATTTCATCCATTCGTACAGAAACTTTAAAAAAATACTTAAATCTAGAACTGCTGTCGTAAAATATTTTACGGATATTCTATAATTAGTTAGCATGTCTAATACTTATTTAATTTTCTTAACGTTTCTTAACGTTTAAATAATTTATTTTTAAAACGATATAAATAAATCTTTATTTATTTGTCAATAACTGCGAAAAATAAGAAATTTTATATCGTTATAGTGTTCCTCCTCCATCTGGAGGATTGAAAGCATCGATCAATGTTATTTTCTGCTAATTTCGACAAAAACAGATATCAAATCGAATAATCTTCATGAAGTATTTATAACTGGCTATATAATTTTATTTCGTTTTACATTTTGATAAAATTTTCCTAAATTTTTTTTTTAATAGAAGAAGACAACACACAATAATCAAATTGTGATTATTATCTACTTTCGTTTGAGTATTGATTCGTTTATACAGAATGTTTTATTTCCACAACTATTAATCAAACACACACACAGACGCATATATTTATATTATATTGATGAATAAAAATAGCAAAATGAGCTTTATGTATAATAACATCAAGCGTCATTTTTTGTCTCTCTCTCTCTCTCTCTAGATACATATTTCTAAGACAGTTTACACGCCGAATATTAAATCAATTATCTGCAACTTCTTATACATTAAATGTAACTCACAAAAACTTAATTGGGCGACCGTCCCTTAATTTGGAAGTGGCGTAAAAGAGAAATGAATGTCAGAAATTATATTCATTATTTAAAAGTACATAAATCTTCTCCGTCGCTATTAAATCTATGTCATTGCGAAACTCGAGGAAAATTACAGCAGATTTTAGGTAAAAGAGGCACGATGAAATGGAATCGAAAGAAGCCTGACGCAAGAGAATTGTACAGAAGATAATTTTCTACTTAAAACTTTTGAATTCACAGAATACTGTGGATGGCAGTCAGTAAAAAATTTTTGTCTTTTTACTAATTACATCAATATGTGTACATAAATGACCAATAGCATATTCGCTTATTTGACAATAAGTCAATTTAAAAGTTGAAAGTGAACGATATTCCGTGACTTCAACTTTTTGGGACGCCAAATAAGCTTGAACTTTATGTCAATACTGTACAAAGAAAGCCGATACAAATCATACAAACGAACCTCGAAACGAATACAAGCACACAAGCCTTTAAGCACGAAGTTTAAGGTTAATCGAGCAAAAGAGGTTCTCTCTCCTGTCAGCACAGATGGGATGAAAAAAAATCAAACGTTCAAACATAATATATATATATATATATATCTTTCTCTCTGTCTCTCTCTCTCTCAGTTCACACATCGATCGGTATCAATGGTCTCAGCGCAATCAATTGCGCAATTTTTCACTCCCTGAAACTTCGGCTCTCCTGGCACACGGTACATATTGTAACCCGAAAGTAACTAATTACAAGTGCTGCGCGCTAATTACATCAATTAGCAAGCCACTTCTTCAATGCACCTTTCCGCTACTCTATCGAAGCTAGGAGCGAGAAAGAAAACAATCGTAATTCCACTTTGGACGACGTATTCCATTTTGGATCCGCCGCGATTGGCGCTTGGAGATCGCACGCGGAGGAGAGTAATCATTGCCGAGATGAAGTACCGTTTTTATTCCCGATCAGGCGCGATCGTGCAACAAAAAGCGCTGCTGAAAAAAACCCCTTTTACTCGATTCACCGGCGAATACGATTTGTTCCTAAACTCTTGTCTATCCACGCGCGTGTGTAGGACTCCGTCTTCTACATGACAGATCGACTCCGATCTACAATTCGCTACAACTCGAGAAGCGTTCTCTAAAGTTATTTTCTTTTTTTTTTTATTTTATTTTTTTTTTCGAGCCGGTTGACGTTACTCGTTTGTAACCTGGTCCCGTACCTTGGGCAGATCGCCCCTGTTGCTGTCTTCACTGCTCGTGAAGGTGCTAGAAGTGTCTATCCCGGAGTCTTTGGTCGCGCTGTCTTGGCTACCCTGCCGATCGGCCTCCCAAGACCATTCCTCCTCCTGAGGGCCGCCGACATTGGTCCCACCGTCAAAACGCACTGTCTTTTTCCCCCTTCTCTCCGTGAACCTGATGGACACGCCACATACACACAGAGACACGAGAACGATAAGTGGTTGGTGCCTGTGTGTGTGTGTTTGTCTTGTCGTATTACACCGCCGCGATTCCGATTTCACGATTTGATCCGACCGAGTGATCGAGCTCGAAGTGTGATCCGCCACGACAACACAACATATATGATATCGATTTATGATACGTATTCCGATTAGAATATTTGTCTTTTTGATATCTTCAATTAACGCGATTTTGTAAAGTGTAATGATAAAAATCCCCAATCGTAAAAGTTCATTCATCCATAAAAAACTTTTCAAAGCGCGTAGGATTACATCATAGTTTCAATGATAGATACTATATTTATATTCAATTTCTCAATGTTTATATTATTTTCAATGTTTATAGAATTTTTTAAATTATAAAATGTAACTATAAAACGATTATTTTATAATTTTTTAGTTATAAAATAAAAAATAAAAGGTAATTGTTATTTTTGCGTATTCTTAGTTCAATAACGGCATCGTTTCCGTGTTACAATAAATTAAAAAAAATAACCATTTCATGACGTCGAACTTGTGCGATGGAGACACTCCGCGACGAGACTTCGTTAAATATTTTCCGTTTTCATTTGCGTCGCGTTTTATCGCGTAAAAGCGGGAGCACAGTCTTGCATAACGCATAAAGTATAAGAAAATAAATCAACCATAGTCCTTGTCTTCTTTCCTTTCATAGTCTTTCAAGACTACCTTAACTAATGTCTTAAGATGGCTATCTAATCAGTTCGTGACATCTTAAGATTGTACTTAAGATTGTACTTAAGTCTTAAGTATAAGAATCGACTATGAATATCGACCTGTGATTCTGATTATTTGATTTTCTTATGCTTTATGTTTTATACGTTATGCAGAAGTCTGCTTCAGCCTTAGAAGCTTTCTACAATAATGCCTGATTTACGCTTCGGTCTTAATCCTAAAATTCTAAAATTTAGCTAGTGGAATACAGGATTTCAATTAGGACCAATTAGAACTGGCAGCCTTATTGGCTGAATTTTAGGATTTTAGGGGATTTAAGACCGAAGCATAAATCAAGCATCAGTCATTACCTAAGCTTTAAATCTTAAACTATATTGACCAATCATAATCGATTGTTCTTCTCACATTCAACTGTAATTGATTAATTTCTCATAAGACTTAAAAACTTAAGTAATAGTTTATTGTAGGAAGCTCATTAAGATCGGCGAAAAAGTGAAAAAAAAAGCAGCGCACACGATCGTCAGCCTCCTTGAAACGCACCTCCTACTGTCGGCACGCCACTCGTCGCCACATCTTCGGAAGCTCCGTCTGACGAGAGTGCTCTCTTCTTTTCGCGGCTCTCGCGGTGGATGGTGGCCGTTATGCTCCACGGCCGTCATGCCCGCGCCCGACCCGTGGTGCCCATTGTGGAATCCGTTGTGCCTACGCCCACCACTGGACATCGATTTCGGACCTCCCGCGTGGTGGTAGTACCCCTTCCCTACAGTAGATCCAAAACGTTTCGTGTTTTTTTTTTCTTTCTCCTTCGTTTCCTTTTCCTCTTGTCTACGAAAAAGCGATTCGCGTGCGCGAATTTTCTTTTTTTTTTTTTTTTATGTATCGTAAACCCTTAATTCTAACTACGCTTCTCTCTCCCACCTCCCTAGTGAGAAAAGAGCGTATCCTCTCGCGTTTTTCTTTGAAATCTTCTCTCTGTGCGTTCTTATCCATTCTTTCATGAGGTCTCATTTTTCGGCAATCGAGTCGATTTACGTACCGAAAACGAAACCATTGAACCATCAGGGATTATTCTGTCATTATCTCGAGTCGAGTACATCTCCCTGCGATGCCCTGCATTCCTAGTCCTGTCCTGTCCGAGGTTTCTCCCTCTTTGATTTCGCGTGTCAGCTTCGTGTGTGCGTTTTGTGTGTAGCGATATACCTAACGGAAACGAGATAAGGCAGCGGTGCAAGCTTGCCCCCGATAAATGTGCGATAGACGACGTCTGAGAAGCGTTAAGTAGAACCGGTACGTTTGAATTTGCCTACGACTGTCACACGATTGGCGAAAGACGCTAAAAGGTATGACTATATGCGTAAATTTGTGCAGGGATCGTGTGGTTGTGTGTGTACGTGTGCGCGTACGTGCATAACGATAATTACAAATTTTTTTTTTCTTGGAAAAATGTCCATCTAAAGTTCTGCATTGAGACACTTTCTGTTTCTTAGGACAGCAGGATTTTAATGGTAGAAATAACAGACTTTTATCCGTTACACAAAAAACTGGGCGAGACACAAAAAGACATGAAAAATTATCGTATGGACGAAAGATATAAATTTGGCCTCCATAAGATCGCATTCATATAAATTGAATTATATCTGTAATATTTGAAAAACAATACGCTAACTTGATTTTCCTAAAAAAAAAAAACTTATCTTTAGTTTCTCTTAAAGTTAAATTCTCTTGAAGTTTAAAGAAAATCTAGACGCTTACCGTACGGATGCCAAAGATAGGAATGTTCGAAAACCTAATACATGAAAGTGAGATATATGAAACACAGACCCAATCCCAATCTTAAAAATATAATTTTGGCTACAGCGTCATCATCCCAATTAATAAAAAATTCCTACGGGTCTATGCGTATATCCAGATAATGTGTATATGCGAGCGAACGGAGGATTTTGAGATGCGGAGATATTTGTGGGAGTTGTATGTGTGTACGCGTATATTCTTGAGTGAAGTATAGATAAAAATATACCTGTGCACGATTCATAGCCGTCCAAAGTAGAACAAATAAAGTCTATTACAATTCTCTGCCGATCGGTCGCATCGCGTGACGTGCGAGTCACAGACGAGGATCTTCTCGTAGAAAAACTTACTATGTAACTGTATGTATCCTCGCATTATTTTCATGGTAACTCTGACATAAATGTGTCCCTGAGGGCGTGGAGAGATAATTTTCTTTGCAAGACAATTCAAAAGAAACCTAAACACAATTAAGTATGGACGGTATGTCCTCAATGAAGTTTAATCTTGAAGTTGGATTAGCGAAATGGTTGGATTTTTAAAAAAGTAATCAAATCCCAATGCAAAAAGGACGTAAAAGAATAGGAAGAAAAGTAACATAATATATGCATTATCAAGCCGCAAGAATCAGATAAATCAGAAGGAGAAACAGCTTATCAATCCCTATTTAACGCACGACCGTTCGGCAGATACGTACACACACATGCACACGCATACGCACAGATATACATATTATATATATGTATATGTAAGTATACATACAATTAGATATATGTGTAGCGATTAATATATAGCGAAAGATGATTTGCTTTGTATGTTTACGTAATAAAATTATTAAGTACCGCGGGGAATTGCCGATTCATTCTGTCTGTCGCCTTCTCTCGCGTACCCCTGGAAGTCATCCCTAGTGGCGGCGGCTTTTGCCCTAAAAGCCGATCTCCCTTTAACTACACATTGCAACATACTGTTTGACTTACTGCTAATCATCGAAATAATCGTCGAAATAAGCTTGTCCGCTGCGGTTCATTTACATCAGAAATAAATTGCTTTTATGGGTATATATTTTTTATATATTATATATTTTATTATGTTAAATATATGTGTATATATATATATATATATTTTGTACAATAAAATATATAAATATAAATATATATATTGGGTACCGAAAATATGGGAATATGTGCAAGATTTCGTGCTCGGTGTGTTTAAACAAGACGCAGACGCAGGTAGACAGAAAAACTGAATGGTAAATACGAATGAGGTACAACGAGCTGTTGAACATCTGTGAATAAAAAAATCGCACAAAATAAAAATGCGAAAGCATTTCACTCAATTCAACGATTCTCAATTTACCGCGAACGGTATTTTACAACCATGCTACGAGAACATCATCACGAGATGCGAATGATTCTTTGACGTCAGACAGTGTTGCGTAAAGTCGTTATTCGTAGATAATTCACTCGCTGAAAGAAATGTACCATTAATTTTGTCATTAAATATTAAATATTAAAAATCGCAGAATATTTTTAAATCGGACAGCGTATAAAAGGGATATTATAAGGGGGAGAAGTTTCGCTGTATATGTATTGTCGGTATAATACGTAGGCGATGAGCACGATAAAAAAAAGAGAAGAGATTCGCGGTTCGTAAAACTAACAAATTGGTAATATGATCGCCACGAGAGAGCATCTTTATATCATTCAATGATACCTATATATCTGCGTTCCACGCGGTAATGTGCATTTGATATCCGTGTGTCATTGCGATCTCGGCATTACGACATAATGAGAGAAGATAAAAACAGGACGGCTCCATTGACGACCGAAGGCACGTAACAATGGAATCCATCTGGTTACGAAAATTTCACGCTCGGCATCCGACGAACGCCCTGGCGAATCCACGGGGGATCATGGAGACCATGATCTCCTCCTTGAAGTCTCCTTTTTTAAGAATATTTATAGCAAAATGTTATATATATTTCTGAAATGCTTAATCATAATTTTGATTCTAAAAATATTTTTTTAATTTAAGAAATTCTTAGATATAAAAAATATATCTAATAGGACGATATTCACAGTCTGTTCTATTTTAAGACTTTCTTAAATAATGTCAAGTAAGTAATGTCAAGTATGCTAATACAGCTCTCTGATTGAGAGAGAATCGACTATGAATATTACTCTATATTTTTTTTATATCTAGGAGCTTCTTAAATTAAAAAATATTTCTGGATTCCATTATAATATTCTTCTGTGTTAACATAATTTTAAAACGTTTTTTTTTTCTTTGAATTTGAATAATATTTTTTTAATAATTTAAATAATAATGTAATATTCTATCTTTTTATATTTAAAAAAAAAATTTTGCTTGGATCACCAATGCCTTCTTGATAAATTTCTGGATCCGCCAGTAAACAAACGTGAATTTAATTTCCACTAAATTCATAACCGAGATAAACTGTGAGGTAAGAGCACAATGAGTGAAGCTTTATGTCACGTATCCGCAAAGTAACGGCCTGAATAAAAGACGAATGTGGGACTACAAACGACTGTCGATGGGCGTTTAAGCGCGCGTTTAAAGTGGGCGGAATAGTCACGCATCCGCAGGTACCTGACGACGCGAACGTGGCATTTTCTGCCCAAGGAGATGCTCGTGTTAGGTAATAAATAGAAGTGAAGCGCGATCAGAACGCGAGCGGTGGTAGCAGATGTCATGGCGGCGAACGGAAGCAGGGACCGTAAAGTCACGCGTCGGAGAAAAGTGCAGAAAATTTTAATTTAAAAGTTAGATGACACCAACTCACCGCGTATAAATCACTCCAAGATTTTACCACCCCGTTCCTGGCGCCGCCTTACGCCCACTCTTACATCGTAGCCGTCGTCGACGACGGCGGCGGCGGTATCTCGTTTGCACTATTCCTCCTATTTCTCGCGAAAAAAATTTCGCTGAGCTGCGGAAGTTCGGCCGCGCGAGGATCATGGATAAAAACCGCGCCGACGAAGACTCATTACCAAGATAACGAAATTGGGTAAACTCGAAATGCCCGAGTACCTACCTCCGCTTGCTATCTCGTCGCGCTCGTCGGTGAGGCGTGATCAATAACGACGAGAGCGGAGACTTTCAGATATTACGGCGTTTAAGCGTTACTATCGCATCGAATCGCGCTATCAGTAGATTGTCAGAAGCGGATATTCAATCTGGGATTGTTTTCGCACGTCACAGGTGCGCGATTGTTGAAAATCGGACTGAGAATCTTCATTAACGTATTTTTATTCCGACGCTAAAGAACGTAGCGCGAGAATGTGGATGGTAGAAGAGATTATTTAGAGATTAGATAAGAAGTGGATTATTGTTAACCGCATCGATTGTGCAGCAAACATTATTTCTCATGGCAATTAATTTATCCTACAAATATTGAAAGATCTCTCTCCTTTTTTCCCCTCCCTGTTCTCATAGAGAGACACGTATCTCGCCTTAGATTCGGATTCTCTACAGGTCGCCATTAAAACGGGCGATCGCCCAGATAACATATGAGCACACGTAACTTACCTCGCTTCTACAAACTAATTGTCTATTCACTAATTGTATTGTGCATCTACGAATGGGAGCAACAACACCACCGTCGAGCTAGCCCGCCGCTTCCCTCGCGCGTCGTACGCGTTTAAAAGCGATTCTCACATATGATTACTCCTTGTTACTCGACCTTAAACTTACAATTGTGTTGCTACACTCAATGATCATCTCTGTGTATCAAAATTTTCAATGAAATATGTTCGGCTAGATACACCTCATCTCATCTCAAGTGTGATCGGCCAGATGCTTCGTGACCAGTTTTACACGTCGGTGAATTCTATATACTTATGATTCCTTAGAATCATAAACCGCAAAAAGACATAATAAATTGGTTAAATTAAAATTGAAATTAACTGGATGTGCGAAACTGGCCATTAATCTCGCCATCGGGCGTGTAATCGATCATCCAATGCAAATTGTTTTCTTTTTTCTTTCATCTTGTAATTTTTAGACTTAAACTTTCGTTCAAATAATATATATGTATAATAATATATACAATAATATTCGTAATAAAGGTGTTTAATATACATATCAAGACTATAGAAAGAATAGTTTTGCCAAAATAGTTAAAAATTTAGTTAGACGCAGATCTGAAAATACCAATCCAATTGGACTATCAAAAATAATTATTTTCAGATCGTATTAGCTAAATTTTTAGATAAATTTCAAAATCATTCTTTCTATGCTCTCATGCCTCCGCACGTTAATGAATACAGTTTACCGTGCATCGTTTCGTCGAAAAAATATAGGAGAGAAAAAAATAGACACTATCGGTCTACATTACTGCTATTATTGGCATTTTTATTGAAGGTAGGCCGTGCGTCATAACGGCATGACGCGATGCGTGTCTTTGATATGCGTAGTCTGCTGTTGTCAGTTTCTGCAGAGTAGCGACCGCTTGATTCCGGCCTACGTGTTTATCCCAAACTAGCGATCCGCGCAGCGACCAAGAGGAAATATCACGTTATTTACAGACAGTCGGCTTACTGTGCCTCCTCCTGTGACAGAAATAAATGTGGAGAAACGGGTATCTCAGGGGGATGTATAAGGATCAAAGTCATACATTCTGCAAAATCTAGCGGAGGTTGCTTTAACTATTTGCATCGATATACAGTAGGCACGTGTATGCGTATGCACTCCGCGCCCACATGTTTACACATTTACATGAATCCATAACTAATCTATGTAATAAATCGTTGTGCCTCTGCTGAGCTCTCATTTTAGTTTCCGCGGGAAGGCAATTTCATTAATTTTTTATAACGAACAGTATTATGGGCTTCGTTTCACGATTTCTTTCCTTCATTCCACCCTTCATACATATCAATCCCGAACGCGTCATCATGTATTAATTGAATTAAAAGACGCGTACTTAATGTGTATTTTGAATAGTGCAACGCAACGTGTGCAATATCGTTAGAGCGTAAAATTAAGGCGTACAATTACGATCAACTTAATCTCACGCGATTCCTCTCTTATTGCATCAGCTATCTATTTTTTTCGCGATAGATTTAGCATGCCTTGATTCCTACGTAGGAGCCAATTTCGATGTGCGCGCCGCGCCAGATTTATGAGTGAGCAAGGATTCCATGGTATAAAAAAAAAGAAAAAAAAAGAAAGATAAATACAGCGCCAAAGCCTTGTTCGTCCGATCGTCAAATTGCAATGTCTTCGGATTTATACGCAAGACTGTCTATCTTCCAACCCCTTCTTTCTCGAGAAGATTCGATCCTGTTGTACCGCGTGGCTCGTAATACAAGAAAAAAAACTGCTGCGTTACACAAAACGCTACTACGAACGCTAATATAATTACGGTTATCGCGAGTACAGTACTCTCGTTTGTCACGCGGACGATCAATCATGAAAAATGGTCGACGTTGCGCAGACAAATTAGCCCATGGGTGAACTCGCATCGGAATCACTGTAAAACGCGTCACGAAAGAAGAAAAGAAAAAAAAATGTAATGCGACGCGTCGGTCGATTTGAAAAGCGCAATTGTACGCAGCTCGCTAGAAGTAGGGAAAATGTCAAAGTTTTCCCAGCCTCTGTTCATAAGTAACGGGGCCACGCGGAGGGGTGGTTCTAAACTAGTGTGGGTTCACGTGATCTTCATTGTGCTCTCGATGACATTTCGTAACCCCATTTCGCCAACTATGTCAGTTTTTCTTTTTTTTTTTTAAATGCATCGTTGCTCAGAGCTCGAAGTTATGGTCGAATTAACTTCAAAAGTGAAGCCTTGGAAATGTTTAATTTTATTGTGTACCGGTATTGTATGTGCCTTGAAATGAAGAAAATTGTCTTTCAAAATCAGAGGAGGTAAATAATAAATCGATTGGCGCTAACGAGACGAAGGATTAAAAGGGTGCACTCATATAAATTCAGCTCGTGGAGGGAAGAATAATCTCCAAGATAATCATTCTACGAGTCGACGAGAGTACTGAGCTTTTGAGTTGGCGAGCCTTTTTTCCTGTTCAAGTCCTGGCCGGTTAGAGGTCGAAGACTATTCAGAAATGAAGAAGGGGCAGATGTTTGAATTCGCCCACGTGCTGGCGGCGTGACGTCACGACCAGCGTGTGGGCGTAGCGAGGTACCAGAAGGAAGAAGAGGGATGAGAGTGGAAATAGGAAGACCGTGGCGAAGGGAAGAAGGGTGGAAGGGAGGAAGAGAGAGAGAGAGAGAAGTAAGCGGAGCGCAAGAGAGGGTTGAAAGGGTGGGTGAGCGAGGAGCGAGAGGATGCCAAGGATCAATGCAACGGCGAGACCGGGAGGGCAGAACCTGAGAATTCCCGCGGGATACACCGGCGCGACGCGGGATACACCGGCGCGACGCGGGATACACGATCGCGGTGTATCGGTCGGTGAATTTAAAAGGAGCGGATATCCCTTATCACTAAAAATGCCACCACCCTTCCCCTCAATCGAAAAAAAAAAATACGTATCTAATCAAATTCAGCCTGCGAAAGGATCGTTGAGAGGACCAAAAGGGAACCGAGTATGCTGGCCATTATAAAATCGATACATGCGCTTCAAGTTATATAACGTGGCATTTCACGTGTGCGTTATCATATACAAAGACACTCGCGTGAAAATTATTAAACGCGGTCGTATTATTCGTTATGATTTCGTTTCGATCGCCATCGCGTTTTCCTGCATCACGAAATTCGCACGAGACTAACAGTTACACGTGTCCCTTAATCCTATATCGATTGATTCTTTCCGAAAGAAATTTTACGCAAGATTTCATCTATGCTGTTGTTCTATGTTATCGTGGTGACAGATGCAATGACTCAAGATGACTCAAGGTAATTCAAGCACGTCGAATTTCGCACGAGGACTTCTATATGATCGACGCAGAAACGCGGCATACCCGACCTTCATCATATGGAAAAAGTGATGCACAGTGGAGGTAGGTAGAATACAGTTTATTTCTGTATTTTGCGAGAGAAAAAGAGAGAGAGAGCGCTTCACCCTACAGGTGCGCACCTGGATGAGTCGATTCACAGTTCGCCGATCTCGCGTTTAATCAACTATGATCGCATATTATATTGTACATCGTACACACGGTTCCCTCACATTCCTCCAATTTTTAGGAATGGAACATTCTCCACAAAAACGAACACAACGACAAAATACAATATTATTGAAGACACGTGTAAAATTTATTACTTTGATAATCAATTACAGGAATCAGCTGATCTATTTCTTCGTTGAAATATTTCATAATTAAAATGCGATAGGACCTTATGCTTTTATTATATTTTAAATAAATGTAAAATTTATACCTAGAATTAATTCACACAATATTTCCTTATTTTTTCCAGTTAATAGCAATCGTGAAATAATTTAATAAAGTTTAAACAAAAATTATCGGAACGAAGAATTATATATGTAACTGAATTTTTTGTATTCGATATGTTTATTAAATTAATTTAGTAGCATTATGTCATATTTAATATAAAATCTTTTAATTTTATTGTAATATACTTGTATATATTATATATAAATACGTATTATCTTACAATCAAACACAAGCATTGGATTGATCGATTACACTTTCTATAACTTATGTATCGTGAAATACGCATGTTCTTCATAAATCAAATCTATCGGAAAGATTAGACTTTCCTTCTGCATTGACTTTCAAAGATAAGGCTGGCCCTATCGATTACCTGATGTTTCCATCGTTTACATTTAAAAATAAATTCGGCGGCGATCTTGGCCATTTAACGATTTTTTTAAATTTCACTAATAGCTTTTTTGTGAAAAATAAATAAATATAACATAGATGTAATATAAATTTTAATTATCGTGGTATATATAAAGTTATCAATTAATTAAAAAAGAAATATAAATAGATAAAAAAAGACTCGGCAAAAGATGTATTTAAAATCGCGAACTATATATATATCATATACTTAATTTAAATTAATTCAAATTTTACTTTATGATATATAAATTTTAATTTAATAACAGCCTACTTTTAAACATTTTTATTCTGAATTAAAATTCTTCGAAGAATTCAAATAAAATTTATATCGTGAGTAATATCAATCAAATGAAATAAAATGAATATCTCGTTAATTTATATCGAGTGATGAGAATATAATCAGAGATAAATATTGAGATTGAAAAATTCACTTACCCTTCTCCGATTCGTCCGGCTCGTCACTGGCGCACTCCGGTGTGCTTCGCTCTTCCTCGCTGCTACTGAAACTTCTTTGTTGCGTGACGCCCACTGTTGACGTAGGTTGAGCAGAACGTCCGCCCTGCGTCTGATGCAACGAATGCTGCGAGGGATGCATTGCAGAACGAACGGAGCCAGTCTCCATCGGTGTCTGACCGTAAGTCATTCCGAGGTCTGTACCCTGATCCTGCATTGCATTAAATAATCGATATGTTATAAAACTCAGTGGGTCGGTCCGATATGGTTATCAAATCGTATATCAAGTTGCAACTTTTTTGTATACAACAGTCGTTAATTGATCCGTAACAAATTTTATAAAATAAAAAGATTCTTATTGTTGAAAATAAAAAGATTTGTTAAAATATTCAATGAAAAGTTAAGTTAATTCTATAGTCAGTTAGTTCATTCAGTATTTTTATCTAAAAAAATTAAAATTCTAAAATTTTATGTCAGATAAATGCATAATATGAAAAATAATAAACTTTTATTTTTTATTAATTTGTACTTATTATTACTTTCACACAAATAAAATTAAAATTAAAATTTAATGAAGAAGACTATATTTTATTGTGAAAGTTATTTATTATCATTTTAAATTTGCATGCTTTCCCGGGAAAAAATA